CAATCCTATCCAATCCAATACAATGCAATGCCATACGATACGATACGATACGATACGATGGTACAGTAAAAAACAGTAACATATTGAGAGTACAACACAGTTCAATGCATTACAATACAGTACAGTACAACAAAATATAATTCCGTAGGGCACAATACAATACAGTACAGTACTATACAACACAGAACTATTCAATATATTACAGTACAATACAATACAGTACAGTGCAAAATAATACAATACAGTACAGTAGGATTCATACAATACTTAAGGATTGAACGTCTGTCAGATTCTAGTTGCAGCCAATATGAATGCAATATGGGTGATAGATAAATAGAATGACGTCCTGACAGACGTTCAATCGTTTTATTTACATTTCCCCGTACGACCCGTCTTTTACAAATTAGTCGGATGAACTTAATTTATATTTCCCGTTGCCGAAAAAGTCTCACTGGTCAATTCTTTGAACAGCTGCAGACGGCCATTAATGGACCGAAAACTTTCTAAACAACGGTCGCCATTAAAAAATGTAACCAGTCGACAACTGTCAAATGCAGTTAAATGCTCTAATCATATGTGCAGAACATTCAACTACAATAGTTAGAACTTCCCTTCCTATTCTTGATGTATTCATTGTCTGCAAAACCCGTAAAGAATCATACGACAACAACAAGATGGTGGCTATCGTTTCGATGGGAGTGGTTGTTAACACTGACGTCACGGAAACCATAGTCATGTGACCAGATAATGCAGACTGTAGTTACTGGGTTAATTCAAAAAGTACAATACAAATCCAGCACACATGCATGCATACACACATATTAGCCAGGTGTTATATGACTAGTAGTCCTGATAAAGCAGCTCTTGCGAATTCCTCAAAAATTATATTGATTAATGTATATGCTAATTGTATTTATTGTATATCTATGTACTGTAAAGCGCTTTAGAGTGGCTTATGTTAGCTAGATAAGGCGCTATATCAAATGTTGTATATTAATTAACTTGAATAACGGACTTCCGTTCTTCAATATAATATTACGTTTACTTCACTTCATATATCAGAGACGTACATTATATAATGTTTGAAATTTAAAGAAATCAGAAAATCATAATATAGATCTGTTCATTCTTTTCTGTAACAAGCGATGACATCTTTTATTTAAATAAATAAATAAATGCATCATTTTAAATATCCTGTTTGGCTTGCAAGTACATGCGCTGGTTATAAATGTTTTTGACTTACAATATTTGATGTCGACTTTATTTTACCTTATGAGGTATTTGTGCAGCTCCAAATAAAAGGATGTTACATCATATTGCTGAAGTACAGGGGCGCATGAATTGATTCACATATTTCACATGCGAGAGGTATTTAGATATATGCTTATCGGCGTTGACGGCAACACCAAATGCTGTAGGGCCATTTCCATGGGGAAATGGGGTTCGTTCATCACATGTGTATTATGAATGTACACGTTAAATAAGAATCGTCATTGTAGATTATATTACTTAACTCTTACCAATACCCCCTTTCGTTACCTCTTACATGTGTCAGTCCCTTGCTCTGTCCTGATATTTTGGGACGATGTACAAGAATATTAAAACATATAACATGGGTATATCTAATGGCAAAACAATTTAAATGTAACATAATGCCAAGAAAAAGATAGTGAAAGTCAACCTTGTATCTCTTAATTTACAATGTACATATATCATACTATTTTTTTATCTCAAAGTGGAGGAGTCGGTGACATATTTTATCCAATGCATTGCGTATGGCAATCAAAATTAATATATAGACAAAGAAGGAATTAACTTAATTTTAATTCATTAAATACACATTTTGTGTCTGTTTCTACCCAGATTTTATCAGTTTAGTCCTTGACTATAACTACACCTCAATGCAAAAGTGTGTTGCTGTGTAGTTTTTAGATCAGTGATCATGCTATAAGCTTACGCCCCATCGTGTTAAAAAGTGCAATAGAATACAGTACAGTAAAAAAACATACAGTGCAATACAGTACAGTACCATACAATATAATTAAGTACAGTACAACACAATACAGTAAAGTACAGTACAATACAATAGAATCAGTGGAATAGCATTCATTATGCTCAAGCGCACACTAAAATGTTTTTAATCACATCTTTTTATTAATTTCTTTTTTAATAAATAATAATTTATAGACCGTCCATATCAATAATAAAAAAAAGGAAACAACAAATCTCCTTGAATCTTTAATCTGATAAAATAGTGTTATTATGTTATGACTATACATATTGACAAATCTCGAAGGATTATTTAAATAAAACACTACTTAGTGAAGTACAATGTTTATTATTATTCATACAAAAAGCCGGGTTTTACTTGTTCATTATCAGTCTAAAAGGAGTTCCAAGAACACGGGAGATTACTTCTAGAGCCTAATAAAACTTTTTTTCCAGCTTTGGTACCTCCCATACCCTCCCCATCCTCCGGCGCTACGCGCCTCGGACGCTCGACCCTCTGTTGGTATACAAACCGATCTATGATTTGTTACGCCACTGACAATACAATAGAATACAGTACAAAAACATCGTTCTCATAACGTCTAAGCAGTATACTAACCTTGTCACCGAAATAAACCTGCTAATGCAATACTTGCTTTGAATAACATCCATGTGGATCGAACCCAGCTACACATCTGTGTGTATTTATTACACAAGGTTGTGATGTTACACAAGAGCCGACCAGAGACTATGCCAACATGAAATACCCATCACATAGAATAGACTGTTTTAAGTCTAGATCAATTCAGCGATACGGTATTCTACTAAAGCCAGACTTTAATTATTAAATGCAACAGATTGTCAGGTTATTCTCGGCTTGAAATTTGTCTGTAAGGCACGAACGCGCCAGCCGTAACTAATTTATGTATTGCTCATAGATGCGCATAGGCATCTCGATTCGTGGTGTGCTTAGAATATAACTGACCTGAAGGCAGACAATTAAATCAAGTTACACAGACCAAGGTCAAAAAACAATGTAACAAAAAGCATGTATGTAGATTAATGACTGTAGTCGCAGTATTTATTACATAACTGATAAAGTGTAACAGAAAATGAAAAATGCACGGCAAGACAAGGGTTCGAACTCGGGATCCTCCGAACTCTAGACGGAGGCTCTACAATTTGAGCTATATGGTCGCCGACGTTCAACCCAGTCCCGTTCTGCTACATGTACATTCATCTCTCCTTTTTCTCAGTCTTCGCCCCAGGAGACAGTTATTTACAACCCATGTTCGGGTTTCCCCTTCCTAAGCAAACGCTAAATGCTTGAAAAGGATTTGTCACAGGCACCACTGTAACAAGAAATGAAAAATTGCACGGACAGACCAGGGTTCGAACCCAGAATATTCTCTGAACTCTAGACGGACGTTCTACCAATTGAGCTTTTTCGACCCCGACGATCGACCCAGTCTAGTTCCGCTACGTAGGCACAGTAACTGTACAAACAGGACGTATGTCCGGGCGGACGGACAGACAAGAGGTAAAACTGAGTCCTTAGTGGCGAGAGTTAAAATATATATTATACAATGTTTGTAGCATGTAGATATAATTCCCCTGAAGGTTTAATGACGATAAAAAATAATTGTCATTCCATATCCCCCTGCATGATCATGTAGAGCGACTAACGTTGAGAGTTTTAAGGAACCAGATGCCTTCCGGTTGGCGGGCATATTAAGAATCAAAAAGTACTCTTCTCTACCAAATGCATTACATGGGACCTTTACGTTTCCCCTGCGAACTGCGTTCATAACGCGCTCCATAAAGAATATGTTCGTTGCCAACTGCGTTCATACTACCGTATAAGGCGTCAACATGAAGATCATATAATGATGATGATTTAAATTAGTATCTTATCACAGGTTGTCTCCTAATAGAGGTGTAGTAGTAGTTTTCATTGAGCACACAAATCATTCTGGTTATTTCAATTCCGATGACCTCAACCAGACCTGCTAAACATGATTAATCCGATCCGGAATGGAATGGTTTATAACGAACGCAAATCATATACCGTACTTAAGGATATTTTAGCGTTGCCAAATTTATTTATTTTTTTGCTCGAAATGGGATGGTTAAATTTTAATGCGTCAAATTTAGGCATTTACTGATCCTATGTGCTAACGTTGGGTGCTTTCTGATGCCTTTAGTTAAGCAGTTGCTCCATCTATCCATTGTGTTACGGTAGCTGTCCCACTTAACGACAAAACTCGATCATCTGGAGCCTTTGTTTACAAAACATATCAGTATTGTACGAAAAGGGTCCAGGTTATTTTCATGACTTTACAACAAGTACAGCGGTAAGTAGTATTCCATAAATTACGTTCCACCTAACTGCAAAGGAGAACAATTTATGGAATACTACTTACCGCTGTACTTGTTGTAAAGTCATGAAAATAACCTGGACCATTTTCGTTTATCGCGGTCCAAACGGTTGGACCGGTTGTTCGTTTATCAAATAATGTCGGACCAAGTAATATGATGGTGATTTCTGGCGAGCCTTGACAAAAACCTTTCAAGAAAACATACTTTTTTTGACGTGGTATTTATAAAGTGTGTTAGTCCTGCCCGATAAAAAGCAATTACAAGTTTTGTAAACATGTAAATATTGAAGAGTTTTGGAGAGGGCTTATTGAGTTATAAGAACTTGTGACCAATCCGTTATACTATTTAATGTCAATAAAATATGTTTGAATGAAATACAAATATAGCCCCAGAAGTTCGTAATTGATACATAACACGTGAGTTGGAAGATGGTCTGCAGATATCCAGATGTTGCGACCATACATGTTGGCATCGTGATAATTTGCTGTTTAGTTTTGGCTCATTCACTTCAAGCACCATATAAACCAAAACATACATTTATCGTAATCACATTAGAAATACTCTAAAGTAAGATATTGCCAGATGTGCAACGAACATAGGCTTTGGTTTTACTACTGATCCTGATGCGGTTTTCAGCCACGATAACGATCAGTACCGTTTTACAATTGTATTAACGTATGGGGAATCTGTAAGACCTGCAATAACAAAAGAAAACACGCCAGTTAAATTCACAATAATTTTGTTAAAGGAATATTGAAAATTAAATGTTGTAAACAGTAATGTACACTTCAATTTTAGAATATTTTTTTTATTAAAATATGTTTTTAAAGAACCAGATTACGATAATTTGGAGATATCAAAATATCATTAAAGTATTTAAGAAAGGTTGTTAGATTCATAAATATGTTAACTTACGGGTATTCTTCGAAAGGTTAACATACACACTAGGTTCAGGTCTCTGACCAAGCGTCTCACAAGTGCTTTCACTGGGTACGCTATAAATAAAATATCATGTTTTATATTTTCCTAATGTAGGTCACGGTCATGATATACACTAAATGTAATAATGTATTTACATGTATATAAGCATATATGATTTCCCATAAGCGTAATACATTCATAATAAAACAATTAGGCAAAAGTCAACAGTCTTAGATTTCTCGTATGCATGTATTATACTATAAATTTATAAATATTTAAACATTGTACGTTAATTGCATGTATGGCATATCAATATTTATTCCAAATCAATATTTAATATTATTTCAAAGGTGAAGTTTACCTTTGTGATTCCATCGTTGTGCTTTCTGTGGGAATAAATAATGAAAAATGTCATAATAGATAACTTTGGATATGAAAATTACTTATTAATATAAGCTTGAATGCAAATTCACATATTTCATTGACATAATTGGATAACAACGACATTTTTTTCACTTCCTGAAGTAGTCATTAATAATTCACTATATAATCATAAGCATCCAGGCTGGGAGGCCATTTATTGTTAGAACACATACAGAAATATACATATTATAAATTCTCAAAATCAACAACTTGATAATTTAGTACATTGATGATGTGTTTTATGTTATCTAAAAATCATAAAATTAAATATCAAATGTACGTAACCTACCTGATGGATTGGTATTGATATATGATGATGATTTGGCGGTATTTGTTATCCTAACTTCTGATTGGTTGAAGTTTGGGGTCAAGTTTTCGTTAACCCCCCAAAAATCATTTATTCGTTCAAAAAATACAACATATAGCAATCTCTTGACTTTCTATTGGTATTTATCATATATATCTTTTAAATCTGTAAATGGTTCTTAATCGATAAATGTAAGGTCGATTTTCCCCCGTTTATTCAAATCACCATATATTGACGGCGGAGTTATGTTGTTTAGATCCAATTCTTGATACGTTGATGGCCTGAAAGAATATTTCATCAACAATTTGTAAGTAGAAGCTAAATTCTACTCTCAATGATAAACTATTATAAACCGTTAAAATAGAGTATAACAACATGAAACACATTCGGTATTTGACAAAGATGATAAAGTACATATATGTAACAGTATATGCAGAATAACCTTGTGTTAGTTTGACTGTGTGGATGGTAAAACCGTTCATGCTATTTTGTTTGACATGGACTAGTCTCATTGTAATACATACTTAGTTACGTGTTGACAATAAGTCATCGTACAAATGATAAACCCAAAAAAGTCAACATTCGGTATTATAATTTGCAAAGTGTATTCTGGTAGATACGTAAATCATTGTTGATAACTGTATTTTACTCTATTTTTGGACAAGGTCAAACAAAACCTGGTAGATCAATGAGTGCAATAAAACATATTTGGATGCATGGAATACAGCAATTAATTAAACCAAGGGGATAAGTCATTCAATTATGGTCATAATTGTTATTATTCTAATTCCAATTATTCAGGGGGCATTACTCCGTAAATAACAGTCGGATAATGATAGTAACCTACCGGAGCTATCATTATAATTAAACCTTTCTACGAAGTTTAAAGTTAATCCGTTGAAAATAACTCGAGATACTGTGCGGACACTTAATAAAAGGGGCATAACTCTAAACTGTAAATTACAGTCAGAAAATTGTAGCAACTGAATTCCGCCAAGCTTTTATGAGTAATTAACCTTCAGACAAAGTTTATAGTTAATACGTTGAACATTACTAGGGCTTTAGAGCGGACACTGTTTCAGCAATTGAATAAAGGGGCATAACCCAGTAAATTATTGTCAGGGATAAGGATGATTATCGAACCTGTCCGAAAAATCATGATAATTAACCTTACTATGACGTTTGTTGTTAATACATTAAAAAAGTCCTTGGATATCGCTCGGACACTGTTCAAAAATTGATTTAAGAGGCATAACTCGGTAAATTACAGTTAGATAATGACGGTTAAAACGGACACTGTTTCAGTTATTATTTAACTTCCCATGGAGTTTGATGTTAATTCGTTTCAAATCACTCGAAATATCAAGCCGACGCCGTTTCAGCTTCGGATAATGGTGACTATCGAACTTGTCCAAGCACTAATGGTAAAAACCTTCCCTTGAAGTTTAGATTTAATCAATTGAAAATTACTCAAGATATCGAGCGGATACCGTACATCCCCCGCTCACCTGATAACTTAATACGTCTTGTCTTTCGACAGACGTATTGAAAACCACGATTTACAGCGAAAACGAAAGAAGTGCATCGAATACATACCTAAATATAAATAGCTTTTGTTGAATAAACATATTCATACCACAGACAACATCACATAGTTACCTGCTCTCTTGGTTTCTCGTCGTGTCAGCAAGCGTACCTTAAAAACAGGACATATTTAAAGTGTTATGTTCTCTCGTTACCGTAGAAGAACTGTCCTTAAATATCTCATTTAACAATATAGCAACACTACTTAGAAATTCATAAATCATTATTTCTATTTTCTTTAATCTGTCTTACTTGCAATTGCATTCACATTTTGGGTAACAAAATCAAACCATTTTTTAAAACAATTATGTTGACATTATCAAGGGAAAATATAGTTGATATAATACGGTAGTTATTTCAGTTTTGTTGAAAACGTTATTCATTCGAGTCCGCCATTTAACAGTATTGATAATTAAGAAATTATCATACATTATGAGCAATATTCAACATACATGCATGTGTAAAGATCTTGTAAAAACCTTTATAATTTGCACTAAAAAGAAGGAATCTTGAGTGACTAGTACTTGACAACGTTGCTTCGTCAAGAGATACATGCGTTCGAATAGTACCCATTACATCCGCTGCGAGCTGCTTTTTCGCAAACTTGAAACAAGCACAACGAGGCTTATGTTAGCGAAAGAGTAACCAAATTAAAATATGGTTTAACCGACAAACCAGTTTATGTTATGATGCCATATATATTTCGGGATTCGAAATAGCTGAAATATTAAATAACAGATCCGTTTCTAACAAACTTTTTTCCTTTGCTATTTTTTTTTTTTTTTTTAAAGTTTTTCTCAGCATAGTTTTACTTTTGTGATTGTTTATTCAAATATAATGAAGACACACAATTAATGATGACGATTATACTATTGACAGATTTTTTTTAATAGCGCAATGTATATCGTCTGTACTTGACCAGTAAGAAATTACGAGTTAAGTTCTTAACTTAATGCACAATAAAATACGCTCCGCGTCGCAAGTAAAACTCATTTTGCGACAGTATAATCACGATATACAGCCGCAAAATTCAAAATACAGAAGGGTTATCCCCTAAATAAACAAATGCCACATTTACATTTTCTAACATATCTTCGTCTGTATATCAGGAAAGCGCCTACTATAGCAGTTAGCGCCAACACTGACCCCGTGACACCTCCAACTACATAACCAATACTTGACTCGGTGCCGGTGATAACATCTAAAAACAAAATCAAAACAAAAAACAGTAGTAGTTTTTGAAACATGGTTAGATTAAAAAAAAGGTCGAAAGATGAAAAATATTTCGCTTACCGGCTTTTGTTTGGTTCAGAAATACAAAATCGCTTCGTCCTAATTCGAGAGGTAAGAGTGGACCTGTTATATCATATACACAATTATAATACTAAGTAGTCATACTATATTATACCAAACATTGTACATAATTGGGTTTGATTGCTAAAATAATTTACTATTGACATGATATTTTCAAAACCAATCATTTACCTTTAATAACAAGTGCAACTGACGTGGTTCTCTCCCCTATCAATACATCCTCGTTTTGAAAAACACACTTGATCACATTGCCATTCTGGTATCTGTCGGGTGTAAGATTGAGAATCTGTGTCGATATGGACCCTCCGTAAGTGCCTGACGTGTTAGTGACGTCCCCCGTGTTAGATATCCGTGTTGTACCGTTATACCACGTGATGTGTACGTGTTTGTTGTACTCCTGTGATGTACAGGTCAAGGTCAGGGTATTGGTACCGTCTGCCACTACCACTTTGTTTCCGGTTATACTGATACTGTCTGGACCAACTGGAAAAGGGAAAACAAAATGCATCAATACTGGTTATTTTCACTCACATTTCATTAACCATGTATGTCTTCATTCTAAATTGTTATCGTTGTTTTAATATCAATTCTTCCTCATTAACACGTTCGTGTCAATAATGCGCTTAAAGCCTTGACTATAATCTTACATATATAGATGTGGTTTACCAAGCTACTTGTTTTTTCAACATTACATGTGAACTGTATATAGACACAACTCTCTTATCTGTTATATTAATTTGCATTACACGGTACTAGCGTTTTAGTTTTTATCAAAACTCTGTCATCACAATAAAAATGAAATTATTTCTATGCATGCGCATTGATCATCCCGCTCAAACATGTGTGTCTAATGGTTCGTCAAACTGTAATTATGTTTAACTCATGTTGACATAAAAAAAAATTGCCGTTTACCTTGACTTCATAATAATAAACTTGACAATATGCTATATATACTTTTAACCGTGAGGACAGAAGTATGGCGTATAGGGTTGCACACCTTGCCGCAAGAGGTGCTGTACATTCTACAATGAACTTGCATTTTATTGTTTTCGATTGTCATGAAATCAACAATTTAAAGAATCAGACGCGGAACGGAATGTTTGGAGACAACAAAGGACAACGACAAAACAAACAGCAGAATTAGATTACGAAACAAATTCCCAGGAATCGCAAGGTTAACAGACATGCTATGTACTGAATCCATAATGACCTTTCCCTTCAGGAACAAATTTTCCAGACAATACACAAATATTTCTCACCCTAGTTCGTTTTCTCACCCTGTTGTAAAGTTGTGCTTGAATTACCGCTAAAGCGACACGATATCTCTCCCCTTACATGATTTCCGATCCGTGTAAGGATACGTGTTTGGAATTGGCATATTGTCCATTAGCATGTCAATACAAATGGTTATGATTTATTTATCATACTACAATATCATAGGTAATGAACATGTTATTTCATGGTTTTTTTTATCATACGAAACAGACATTACAAAGGATATACGGAGTGTTCCTTATGAATCACATCTTACGATGCAATATAAAGCATTGAACAAAGACATAAGAAAATAATTAAATGCACGGCATAAAAATGATAAGCTAGATATCTTGACAAAAATGTTAAACTTAAGACAGAAAAAACTGTTTCTTAATCAGTTATATTACGGAACATTCCCAAAGTCGAAAAACAGCTCCGAAATGGAACAAGTTTTCTTTATTCCAGAGGGAGAAGGGGTGCAGGGATAGGGATCGAGAATCGGATGAGAAGACTTAACAGGGGATATTATTAGTGTACCTTGTACATCGTAAGGCTCAGTCTGGCCTTAGTGTTCATATGTATCCAACATGTAAGTTACTATGTATATATGATTATGTTTCGATTATGAAAAACGCATCATTTATTTTCTCCGGGACCTACACTTGACAGCAAACACTGGCGATTGGTCACTTCCTGAGTTTGTCTGACTCCCAGTACAGTTACATCGTTGTCCATTCGCCTGACGTGTCAGAGTCACTGTGATTGTTGACGTGTGATTGTCTCCGTGACTTGTGGTGTTATGGGCTGTTTTAGACACTGACGCAGGGCACGTCCACATGAGACTGGTCGTGGTTTCACCATCTACCAAATGACACGTCAGATCCACTGTGGAGTTCTCCTGTCCCTCATTTGTTGGGTTTATACTTACTGATACATGGGAACTAGGAGAACCTGTAGAACAATAATGTGTGTGCATTGACCAATTGAAATGTTTCAATTCACCAAAGAAGGATTTTAAAAGATTCACATTTAGTTGATTATATCCCCCTTTTTGGCAATCATATGCCACACGTCAACGCCTAGTTCTCATTGCCAACTGAGGAACGAAACCAAATAGGTTTTAATCCATTTACCTCTTATCAGGGAGTAGACTCCATTTCATCTAAATGTGATATGATATTGATGACAACATACGACTTTTCGGAACTATATCATCTTAGCAACCACGGCTACCGTAGGTACCATAAATGTTAAACGAAGAAAACAATCGATACGGGTCGCAACGACCCGAATCGATTGTTTTCTTCGTTTAACATTTAAAATTAAATGTAAATATGAGGATTGACCTTAAATCTGACGAAGTACGTGGAGCGCTCCATGAGTAAACATTTTGACGTATGTGGACAGAAGTAATTGAGATTTAAAACATTTCCTTTTTATTCATGGTTCATGGTCCTAAACAGTCGACTGCGTTGTAATACAATGTTTTGTATTTGCTGTTGTGATTCTATCACAAACATTGAAATAACAAAATAATTGTAATATAGTGGAATTACCCCTCCCCAGAGAAAAATTGATGAATTGGGGGTTGTTAAATTTACATTTCGATTTAGCACTTCCGTGCAATTCAACCAATAAATAGGATTTCATTTTAGCAAATCCTTGTCTGAAGAAGTAGCTTGTTGAGTTTAAGGAGATGGCCTCTGTTGGCCCCGCCCCTCTGGCCCTAAGTATGAGTGAAGTTGTTAATTTCGAAACCATCAAACTATAATTACATGATGTTAACTTCCACTAATTTTGAATTAAATCTATATTTTTCTGACTGCGAAGAAGAACGATTAACTTGTATAAAATTTGACCCCTTTTGGCCCCATCCCTTAAGCCTTGGGGAGATTCATATATTTTTTCGTCGCTGTTCAGTGACCCGGGGGTAATGAAGTTCACAAGTATTATCAAACACATGAAAAAGCAGCAGTGGTGCGATCAAATNGAATAATGTCATCCCGCAAACTCCGATATACTTCATAATGAAACTAAACAAACGTTAATCAGAATAATGTCATCCCGCAAACTCCGATATACTTCATAATGAAACTAAACAAACGTTAATCAGAATAATGTCATCCAGCAAACTCCGATATACTTTATAATGAAACTAAAAAACATGTAATGTCATTCACTGTTACCAGATTACACACTGTGTCTGCAAAATACTTCAACACCTGTTACTGCACCCTTTCCCTAGTATGTACTACATTTAAATATATTTTAACACAGAAAGACATTGTCGCGCGATTTTAAAAACAAATATAAGTACTTTTTTATACAACTCACCTTGATCTCCTGTGAAACATATCACGCCTGCATCTTCATTATGACCACAATTTTCATCTCCCCAACCACTAAACGGGCAATCATCAAGACTTTGCTCTGAGCCGTCACATGCGACATCATCCATCAAGATAGATCCCGAACCAGCTCCAAAGTACGCAACACCAACTCCCATGCCATTGCTACATGTATAATGTATAGATTAGGTTTGTATGCTTGTCTGTTCAGTATTTATGGCTAAAAAGGGAAGAAACAAATAATGTCGTATTTGAAGTGTTTGCTTTAAACAAGGTGATATCGGAATCACGGGAGCTGGCATAAATGAAAACAGTTTAAAACATCATCAGACGTCGTGGTTACCATATATACATATAAAGACACCCCTGCAGGTCGGGAACCGATAACGGAATACACCTGCTGTTACCAACTGCATGGTCGTAAAAGGCTGCTAATGTAGGAATCCCCTGCATATATGGGGATTGGCTTTTGCGCTCTCTACCTGGGGACACAAATGCGACCAAAATAAATCTGCTGCACCCATTGCAGTTTTTTTTTTATCTTTATACTTTCTAACTTTCTTTTATTTTCAAACTCCTTGCTTAGCATTACATCGCTTTTGGTTTTAATGTTAAACGTTCGCCAGGGTGAGGAAGGCAGAAGGTTCTTTCCAAAGACCCGGTTATACCAAAGTCCTTAAAACAGTAGTTATTATTCCCTGCTTAACGTGCAGTATTTAGGGTGATGGCAGCAACTGGTTCAACCGTTGTCAGTTTAATGTGACCTGGCTGATTGCTGTGCTGGTTGCGTTCGGCATGATATTTCAGTAAGACAGCACTATAAAGTCGGCATCAGATCCGCGCTATACCAAGGAGACACTTACACAAACATACACTGCCGCCGGTACATTTATACGTATGCAAGCATACACAAACAACACACACGATGGTAAGTCTTTAAATGACCTTAGCTTTCGATAGGACGTTAAACCCTTTACCAGAAACCAGCAAACCTACATAAAAGGGTCGGCAATTTTGCTTGGTTGGGTTTGGTTTAGTTTAGTATTGTTTAACGTCCTATTAATAGCTATGGTAATTTAAGGACGGCCATTCCTGTGTGCAAGATGCATGCGTGTAGTGTATGCGTGTGTGTTTTGGGAGGCTGTGATATGTTCGTGTTTGTCTCCTTGTTATCGATAACGCGGAAATGATGCCAACTTTATAGTGCTACCTCACTGAAACATACTGCCGAAGACACCCAGCAGGACCCCCCACCCGGTCACATTATACTGACAACAGGCGAACCAGTCGTCCAGCTCCTAAATTGCTGAGCGTTAAGCAGGAGTAGAAACTACCATTTTTACAGACACTGGTATGTCTCGGCCACGGGACAGAACCCAAAGCCTTCCTCATAGGGGCGAACGCTAAACTCCAGGTCAAAAGTGAGGCATTGTCAAGGGAGACATTAGGAAGAAAAAACTTGTTTAGAAAGAAGTTAAAAGATAAGATCACAAATTTAGTTGCCTCTTACGATCATGCAATGGGGGCAGCATGTACCATTCTTACGCCCTACCTGCAGGGACCCGGCAACTTTGCCTCGTGGCGAGATGTAACATACCATAATTCAACCAATTGTCTGAAAACACATTTATTCAAACTGACGCGGTTCATGAAAAGTGACAATAGAATCTATAATAGTTTATCGCTTACACACCATGTCAGTCACTAGGCGTATTAAATATAAAACACAATAATCCAGGAAAACTTTATCAACAGCAGCTTCATGGATCGGGTCTCTTGGCTATTTCAAATACGCTGATGGCAAGCTCAACTGTTCACTCATTCCCACGTGCGGGGTCAAAAAGGTCATACACAAAATGCAGCTTGTGTGTCATTCGTGGATCGAAATTTACCGTTCATTTCGTCGAGGTTTTTTTCCTGTATCACGATCTTTTATTAAGATATGATGTTCACACGTGACCATGTCATTTTGGACGCTTTCAATTGTTATTACCGCAGATATTTTTGCATTAATTATCGGATGACGTGAGCAGACAATACTCGTCCACAGAGGTAAAGTTCATGATAATTTTAGTGAGCTATTCTATATCTTACTTATTCAACAAACCAAACAAAAAATGTATATAATAGAGAATGCATGCATTACAAAAAAAACGAAGCTTATCCTTCTTTTTCCCGATTTTGAAAAATTACAAAAAAACGAAGCTTATCCTTCTTTTTCCCGATTTTGTAATGCAAAACATATTATTCAACAAAGAACGATTTACTGGTACACTTGTGTATACAATTGATACGCTGCCAAAATCGGTACACGGTCAGAAAATTTCAACCAAATCATCTTGTTTGCAGTGATATTTGAAGAGTACACGATGACTTCAAATTAAACAAGTCAGAAGACTAAGTTAAAAAGGCCGAATGTCGACAATTTTTTTGAGGATTTCGAAGGGTTAAATTATATAAATGCTGATGTATTGAGTTTTGGCCTACAACATGAAAAACTCAGTAACTCACATGTAGGGCTTGAATGGCGTTTTTGTTTTTAATGTTCATGCCGGTATGCGTCATCCTTTAAACGACATTGACAGAACAGCTCTATTTAAATAAAATTGGCGCCAATAATTAATCGTAGTCATTTGAACGTTTAACATAGGGGCTTTCTCCATGTTATCCGAAGCGAAGCGACAAGACTCTCATTGAGCAAGGTTAATCTATGTAAATCACGTGTGACGTCACAATAGTTTTTTGCTTTCATACTCAAATGAAATGCATTTCTGCTGGTAATGTTCATATAGTGGGTTGCAGCGTAACATTTATCAGATAATCAACTGTATCAAAGACTCTTTTGTGTCAATTTCTCATCCGCATCAGTTACCCACCTGTATCCGAACATTCTGCACACAACTCGAGCGTCTTTGTTTCCCCAGCTATCATCACAAACGGTCCCCCATTCGCCGGCATGGAAGACCTCCACACGGCCGGAAGTGTTTGTGACCCCGTTAACCAAGCGGACAGCAAATGGCAAACTTGAGGTGACAGAGACTGTTGTTTGGTCAGCGGTTGTCAGGGATGTGCAATAAAGAAGAAAAACATCATTTTACACAAATTTTTATAATCTGCAAAATGGTTTATATTTTGAAATTCCGAAAGATCCCTTCCCAGATATATGACACGGTATTAGCTTGCCAGATTCAGTCACGTTGGATTAGCGTCATTGATTAATCTGTGATGAATAGACAGCTTTACCAAGTCTGCGATATTACAAACCTTTTCTTTTGTTGATGGTCCTAAATCAGACGCTTCTCCCTATTGCACATGTACCCCATCCAGAAGTTGGACTGGTTTCTTCTTAATCATGTTAGGTTACAGCCACATACTTATGTTAACATTTGAAGATTTAAGAAAGACGGACAAAACATGGGTTAAACTCACGACCAGAATGTTTTACCGCACGTATGGCGACATGGACTTGAAATAGTGCTTTAAAGGGGGTTTGATTTGGTTTTATATTGTTTAACGTCCTATTAACAGCTAAGGTCATTTACGAATGTGCCTCCATGTAGGTAGTGTATGCGTGCTTACGTGTGTATGCAGGAGACAGGGTTTGTAGGTGTGCTTGCCTCCTTGTGATAGCGCGAATCTGCTGCGGACTTTATAGTGATATCTCACTGAAGTACCATGCCGAAGGCACCCAGCACAGCATTCCGTCCGGTCACATTATACTGGCAACGGGTGAACCAGTTGTTGCAATTCCTCTAAATGCTAAACGTTAAGCAGGCAATATCAACTACCCTTTTTAATGACTTCGGTATATTCTGGCCTGGGTACAGAACCCATTGCCTTCCTCACCTGGGCGAACGCTCAACATTCAAGCCAAAAGTGAGGTGTTGCCAAGCAAGGCGCTAGGAAATAAAAGGTAGCTAGAAGTAGAAAGAGAGATAAAGATCCCAAATATTGCAAAGGTCGCAGCAGATTTATTTTGGTCGCTTTTGTGTCCCCAAATAGAGGCCACCAAAGCAAATCCCCAATTATGTAAAGGGTCCCTCATTAGTCGCCTCCGACGATACATGCAGTGGGTAACAGCATGTGTACTATTTTCCCGACCCCCACATGCAGGGTGTGCTTTAAAGAGGTTAAGTGTTGATTGTATTTGTTAAATAATGATTGTTATCGTTTGGTTATTGGAAACCGAAAGGCGGACATATATGAGAATCTGAACCCAGATTAAAAAAAAAAAAAAAAAATCTCAACTTTTACTTAAGTAATATTAAAGTATAAAAACCTTAATGAATAAAAAATAAGAAAATAACTTAAGTTAAGTAAATGCTAGGTATATTTAAGTACTTAAGTACAAAACTGTGACTTAAGCATTTACTTAGGTAAAATATTTTATTTTAGTTTTTTATGAATATGGACCCATATTTAGAATAGAATTGTTTATCATAGTGAGTTAGAACAAGTTGATGACTTTCACAACCCGGATTAATTTCGCTCGTTTGTTCAGGACAAAGGGTTAATATCAGGCAACGGGCACGTTACATCTGCTTTTCCTTCTCATATATTTACGACCTATCAAAACAATTATGAGGCGTAAATAATTTTTTGTTTACTATATTCCATACATCGTAGGAAATTGTGATCATGTGCCGCTTGTTGTGAAATGGAATAAAAATCCTCACATCACAAATGCTTGCATGCACAAAAGGACAGCGTAATTAAAAAAAATGTGTTGTCTAGGTTTTCTTGCATTATACATGCGTATAGGCAGGCACTAAGGTACGCACAGAAGCATTTTTGCATGAAATAATTATAATCAGTTTATAATCATATTCAACATATCCATATGGGATCAGAAAAAGAAAATTCAGGCCAAAGCGGCCTTCGCAAATATTTTTTCAACACTTTCTTGAATTTCGTTTCATAATCCACCATGTTTTAATTATTTTCGAATTAAAATAACTTTAAGTTGCTTCCTTGATAATGCATCACACTTGGACTTAGTTTTAGCAGGCATTCTTTAATCTTCGAATGACGTTATACACGTGATAATTAAGATTGGCTGTGCAGAATAAGTCATATCAACGCCAGATCTTAACCCTGAACGGGCCTTTATGCTTGTTACCCACTCCTACTCACTAGACAGCATCAAATATATTAACCGCTATGTAAAACAAAAACCGAAAAAAATAATCATTAGATTACGCGACATACTTCTCGATATGTACAAAGGCAGAACAACGGTTCCAATGGCTGACCATTTATCGTTATAGAAAGGTCAACGTACACATAGTAAAGAAGGTTTCCGTGACCTTTATACTTTGATATAATTGTCTTTTAAAAGATCGGTGCATTATTTGACGAATTTATTTGTTCCCTTCCCAAGCAAAAGAATTGCGATCAACCATATATCCGGCATACATGAAGTTTACTTGTACTAGAAATATTAATAGTTCAAAACAGACTTCTATGTCTCCAAATGTTGTACATTTATAACGATTTTAAATAATTTTTATGTACCTTATTTTAATTTTGGCTCCATTTCAACAAATGTTTCGGAACATCATAGGCAAATATTTGTATTTCGTTGTCCTTCCGTACCTTAGATGAGTTCTATACGAATGAATAATAATAATAATAATTCGAGGTTCTTAAATAATATTTATAGTACTAATTGGAGGTTATTTTATACTGCTTTATCACAACCTAGTTTTTTGGTAGTCTCAAAGCGGTTCACAAATTATTATCCGTGGTTATTGGGCCTTTGCAACCAGTCAATATCTTTCTCGACTCACTGGGGAGCATACAGCCGGTGCTGCCATTTCGTGACCGAAGGGTTGCGGATTCGAGTTACGTCACGCCACTGTGTTTTATCTTTGAGCAAGATAATTTTTCCCGCTTATTCCAGTCTACTTAGCTATAAACGAGTACGTGGTTGAACAGTGCAAGAATTGTTGAATGCTATCTGTAAGCGCCGAAATGGCAGCACCGACTGTATGCTCCCAAAGGTGTTGAGATAGATAATGGCTGGTTGCAAAGGCCCTATAACCGGGGATAATAATATGTGAACCGCTTTGAGACTACCTAGATATATAGAGGATATGGAATGGTTTACCGTTTAATACCATATACATGTACATGTATATTTAACGGCATTTATAGGTTTAGTGTTTTATTAATCTTATCAAATTACGGAGAAATATTAAAAGCCAAGACTTAGACCTGTAATGGTTTTAGTTACATATTTTAAGTAATTATGTCACGTTCCGGATTTTTCGCGTTCATGACTTTTGGTTTTCATTCTGTTGTGATGAAAAAATCGAAACGATTTAGCCCGTACATTTTTTTTTTAATTTGATTTCAGATTATCTGATAAAAACATTTTATTTCAACAAAATCGAATAAGTGAGTGAGGGGTAGCTTTGTGGTACCAAATAAGTATCTGTTTTATTCATTTGGATTACATCTTTCCCCCCGTTTTTTTGGCTCTTCGAAATTCAAAATCGTGTGTGCACTTGCAATTTTGTTCATAAGCACGCGTACCACGAAGCACTATTCAGCTAAAGATACAAAAACCAGTTCTGACAATGCTCGCTCATGTATGTAGAAAATGGGTTCGTTACAGAACACCGAGTTTTCTTCAAACATTGCAATATTTTTCATCATTTAAACACTATTGTATTTGACTAAACTATTTTTGTTTTGTTTTAATATAAAGAAGTTTCTTTGTAAACTTGACATTATCAACATAGCGTCCACAAGGTACTTGTCATATTGACAAAACAACGAAATTTTATTCTGTTTTGCACTTACTACAGACATAATTGTGTTTTTGCTTTAAAAGAACAACGCTGCTTTACAGTCTAGTTATGCTCATTTTATAGAAAACAGTTTAAGTTTTGCCGAGTGATCGGTTAACTGCCGTAACAGCTGTACTAAAAGTGGTATATTCACATATGAAGATGTTACGTTTCGTATATCTTCCCTGCAGTGAAAATGAAAGTTTTCATCCAAAGAAATGTAACGAAATCGTATACTTACAATTCATGTACAGAGAAAGGCCGGTCAAGAGGACCAGTTGTAAGTAAGGGTACGGAGCCATGATGTCACAACTCTCCGCTACCTACAACTGAGCCCGATTAACACTACTGGCGTACGTATGGGAGCTACCTGTATATAAGTCTGGTACAAATTAGGTAATCATATGTAGACCTTTCATGTCTATGAAGGCATAACATTGTGTTTTGTTTTAATTAATAGGCTTAATCAATGATATGAAGACCACTAACAATACAACATGTATCGATCTGGCCGTTAACACCGTGCCAGGGTATATATGTAAGTACATACGTGCCCGTCCAACAAGGAACAATTAAAATTAGAACAAAACATTATGTAAGCTTACAAACAAAACATAGGACATAGCATTTACACACAAGACAAAATATATATAACATAACTTTGATCGCAGCGTCAACACATACGGGAAACTTATACTACCACATCAAAACATATAAGGACGAAGTCTTCTACAGCGTCAACACAATGATACGAAATACTACAACGTCATGACGATAACATATGCCTAACAAATATTACAGCGTATAACACAATTATAACATGTACTACAGCATATAACACAATTATAACATGAACAACAGTATATAACACAATTATAACATATAATACAACGTAATACACAATGATAACGTTTACTACAGCGTATAATAAAATGATAACATATAATACAGCGTATAACACAATGATAGCATATACTACAGCGTATAACATAATTATAACATGTACTACAGTGTATAACATAATTATAACATGTACTACAGTGCATATCATAATTATAACATGTACTACAGTGTATAACATAATTATAACATGAACAACAGTATATAACACAATTATAACATATAATACAACGTAATACACAATGATAACGTTTACTACAGCGTATAATATAATGATAACATATAATCCAGCGTATAACACAATGATAGCATATACTACAGCGTATAGCATAATTATAACATGTACTACAGTGTATAACATAATGATAACATGTACTACAGCGTATAACACGATGCTAACATATACTTCAATGCATTATACAGTGATAACATGAACAACATCGTATAACACAATTATAACATTTACTACAGCGTATAATATAATGATAACATATACTACAGCGATGAAACACGATGATAACATATAATACAGCGTATAACACAGTGATAACATGTACAACAGCGTATAACACAATTATAACATTTATAACAGCTTATAATATAATGATAACATGTGCTAAAACGTATAACACAATGATAACATAAACCACAGCGTATAACATAATGCTAACATGTGCTAAAACGTATAACACAATGATAGCATTTACAACATCGTATAACACAATAATAACATATTTCACAATGATAGCATATACTACAGTGTATAACACATTGATAACATATACAACAGCGTATATCACAATGATAACATATACTTTATCGTATTACACAATAAAAACATTTACTACAATATATATCACAGTTATAACATGTACAACAACGTATAACACAGTGATAACATGTACTACATCGTATTACACAATAAAAACATTTACTACAATATATATCACAGTTATAACATGTACAACAACGTATAACACAGTGATTACATGCACAAAAGCGCATAACAATGATAACATGTACTACATCGTATTACACAATAAAAACATATACTTCAACGTATAACACAATGATAACATGTGCCAAAACGTATAACACAATGATAACATGATAACATATACTACAGCTTATAACATAGTAATACATGTACTACAATTTATAACACAATGATAACATTAACAACAACGTATAACACAGTGATAACATGTACTACATCGTTAACAGAATGATAGAAATACTACAGGGTATACCACAATGATATCATAGACTACAGTGTTTAATACAATGATAACATATAAAGCAGCGTATAACACAGTGATCACATATACTACAATGTTTAAAACAATGATAACATATACTACAGCGAATATCACAGTGATAGCATGTTCAACCGCGTATAACACAGTGATAACATATACTACAATGTTTAAAACAAGGATAATATGTACAACAGCGTATAACACAATGATAACATATACTACAGCGTATAACACAGTAATAACATGTACAACAGCGTATAATACAATGATAACATATGCTACAATGTATATAACAATGATGGCATGTACCACAGCGTCATGACGACAACATATACTTCAGTGTCAACACAGGAAGACCGAAAAGGGCACGCGTCTAGACTCAGAGCCAATACAAGGTGTCTCCGAGATATGTTTGTCGAACAAGGTATACCTCAGCGTCAATACACTAGGACAACATATAATATAGAGTCAGCGGAAATGAAATTAAAAAATGTCAAAAAGTTTTACACTAATATATTATACACTATACCGCGCTAACACAAACAGACAAAATATAGCACAGCTATTCATACACAAAAACAATGAACAAAAAAAGCACACAAAAATAAAACATAACAAAGGGTCCAGACAAGGAAACATACTACAACGTCAAGAAGAAATAAAAAATTAACACAAAATAAAGCATTGCGTCAAGCATCACAAAATAGTGGGCGTTCAAGGTCGACACGAAATTACAATGTCAAGCTTAATTAAAATATAAAAGCAAGAAAGATTCCATAAATGTTACCCTTCAGTTTATATGATAACATACACACTCAATAATGGCGTCATATCTAGCAATTTTTAGAACAAACTCAGCATTTAAGACTGTATATGTAGGAGTTACTCCCCGTTGCACGCTGAAAAGGGTGTCCCAGAGCTAAGATGGGGTGTTCCACGGGAACATACGTATCTTACATACGCAGACATGGGATAAATTACTATTTGTCATATATAACATTATAGAATATTTAATTTGGTTTTCGAATGGTGTTTTAAATTTGGAAAATATCGACTTTAAGTGCGGCTCTTCCATAAGGGTTTTAGCGATCTGCTCAAATCTGAACTTAGTTTACCTCTCAGTAAAGGAGATTTAAAAAAACACCTCAATGGTTCTTTACCGGAATACTGAGACAGTGCTAGCTCTAATAAGTACAGTAGAGGTACACACACCAACATAAGTAAGATGTAGACGATGATAAACTGTCTTAAAATAAATATGAATCAAATATATTCGTCAGATCAAACAATCAGAATATCTTTTTAGAATCCCTCTCCCACTGCACTATGGCATTTCGTCTATACAATAACCTCTTCATAATTTCGTTTAGGACATACTGTACCACAGCTAGGCAAGGCAACTTTCGTTGGCTAAGAGCTCAGTCGGTTAGAGCGATTGTATAACAATCTGAAGTCCTGGGCCAGTATTCATGAAACCGTTCTCCTGCTCAGATATAGATTGTATACTTAAGCCTCATTTCTTGTTCCGTAAATAAATAAATAATAAAAATGGATCTTGACAATGATTTGGAAAGCATTAGAAGAGACTTAAAGCCTATTTTAACATTGGAGTTTTTGATCATTTGACATAATTTAAGTGAGTCACAAGAAAGTTGGTTTGAGCACAAAATCCATGCTTGAGCATGAAAATGGTTTCATGAATACGGGCCCGCAGTTCGAATCACGGTCTAGTGCCGCGGTATATGTTAATCCTATCTCTATAATTGTTTCCAAAAAATACTGCAAGGTATACTTTTCGTTTCAGAAATGATTTATCAAAGTAATGGTTATGCCGCTAAAATATAGTTTCTTTTTAGTAAATACTGTCTAACGAAAAATATTGAAGATGCTTTCTCGTTATAAAAAGATAAAATAATTATTCATAATATTCTCAATCATCAACCGTAACATTACGTTGTATTAGTGTCTTTATGGGCGGATTGGTCGAGTGGTTAACACTCCAGCCTTCCAAGCAGGCGGCCGGGGTTCGATCCCCGAAGTCGCCGTACGCATGGAATATTAGAGAAAGTGTTTTTCTCCTGCCCACACAACTCCAATAACCCAGGTGGATTATAAAATGGTCTGGGGTGGGTGTTGCGGTATCTGTGCTGTAGCATTCAAGTGAGGTGGCACTATAAATAATACCGTTGGAAGCACGGTCCCACTACAAACAGAACAATACATCTCCAGCACACACGCAGGCATACGCACATATGGAGATATTAGCCAGGTGGCATAGGACTAGTAGTTAGCGCCTGATAAGGTAGCTCCTGCGAATTCCTCAATATTGTATTGACTGTATAAAATTGTATATCTATGTACTGTAAAGCGCTTTAGAGTGGCTTATCTTAGCTAGATAGGGCGCTATATCAAATGTTGTATATTATTATTATTATTATTTATAAATATCTGCAGACAATTTGTGACCAAAAATAATAGAGACTAATGATTGTTTCCCCGTTAGAAACCATAACACAGAAATCATAGTAATTTGGACATTAAAAAGGTTACTCGATAAAGTATGTAAAACATTGAAACACCTTCAGATATATTTGTGCATTAAATGAAGCTCCAATATGTCCTATACTGCTATTTTCTTATTATTCATAAATTGTCATAGTTGAACAGTTTTAGCAACAATATTAACAAATTCCTTTTCAAATGTTTTCTAAATATATATCCCCGAGGTATTTAAAATAAAATAAGAATAACAAAAGTTTATAGCGTTTGGAATAATTAATCGTTGATCTCCCAGGGCGTCCGTCTTCTTCTTACCTCATCTTACCGGAGGTATGGTAGTCCAGTGGTATGTCGTCTGCTAGATAACCGAACTACTTGGTATTGAAGCGGAGGTAAACCAATCAATCAATCAACCAATCAATCAGTCGAGTAATAGGACGCCGGGCTCGTGACCGAAGGGTTGCGGGATCGAACCACAACACGGCACTGTATTGTATCTTTGAACAAGATACTTTACTCCGCTTGTTCCAATCTACTCAGCTGTAAATGGGGACGTGGTTGGGCAGCGCTAGAATTGTTGAATGCTAGCTGTTAGCCCAGGGAGTTGAGAAAGATATTGGCTGGTTGCAAAGGCCCTATAACCTGTGAACCGCTTTGAGATGACCT